AAGTCTTTTGATGCACATAAGTTTTTAATGTTTAGTATGTCCCACTCATCTATTTTGTCTACTTTTGTTTGTGTGGTTTTCAAAATGTTTTGTAGTCTGCGTATTCCCTGAATTAGTGCCCTCACATTTGTCCCGATTTTTTCACTGATGGCCTATATAATTCTGGGATTCACATTTAGGTCTTTAATCCATGTTGAGTTGGTTTTTGTATAAGGTGTGAGGTAAAGGTCTTGTTTCAGTCTTTTGCGTATCGCTTTCCAGTTCTGCCAGCACCACCTGTTGAAGAGACTATCACTTCCCCATGTAATATATTTAGGTGTGTGAAACATGTATTTTGTACTTACTTAATATTATGACAAAAAGATGTCTAATAGTTTGTACTTGCTGAGTTGAAGAAGCAGGTTAGCTTGGGCATACTTTTATTATACAACTTTGATTAATTGGCTTTACTTGAAAGGCCTTTGAACTTGAGTTAGAAGCCCTTTAAAAAACTGCTTACTTTGATCTGCCTGACCCTTGATAGTTTTCAGTTGTTCTTTTAATAAATACTGTGTACCTCCCATGTCCCACTCACTGTTTCAGGTATTGGGGATGTAGCAGTGAACAACAACACCCAATAGACCCTGCTTATAATCTATCTATTGGAGTCCTGGTCTGGCACTGTGAGATAAAGAACTAGACCACAAAGTCAGCAGATCAGACTCACCAGCTGCTCCTAGGAAACCCTATATACAGGGTCGCTATGAGTTGGAACTGACTTGATGACACTTAGCAACAACAACAACATAATCTATATAGTGAGGGGAGTGAGGTGGCTTCTTACAGTAGGCACTGGACTACCAACCACAAGGTTGGTGGTTTGAGCCCATCAGCTGATGAGACTTTGTTATAAATAGGTACAGCCTGGGAAACCTTTTTAAGGGTTTATATGAGTTGAAATTGACTTAGCGGCACTTAACAGCAACAACAACAACAATGTGATGTTACCTAAAGGAGGGTGGGTCCTGCGGTGGTTACTCACTCAGCTGTTAACCAAAAGATCTGCAGATTGAACCCACCAGCCACTTAGAGGAGAAAGATGTGGTCGTCTACTTCTGTAAAGATTAACCACAATAAACAAAACCTGTCTTTAAGTCAGTTCTGACTTATAGTGGTAGGCTAGAACTGCTCCACAGATTTCTGAGGCTGTAAATATTTATGGAAACAGATTTAGGGCAGCTGCTGGGTTCAAACCACCTACCTTTTGGTCAGCAGTCCAGTGCTTAATCCACTGTGCCACCAGGGCTCTTTCCATAGAGATTACAGCCTTGGAAACCCTATGGGACACTTCTACTCTCTCCTTTAGGGCCGCTTTGAGGCAAAGTTGATTCAAAGGCAATGGTTTTGATTTTTGTTTAAGGTCAAGTACTGGTAAGTGTTTTGAGGGAAAGAATCGAGCCATGTCGGGAAGATTATTCTAAGCATGGAAAAACATGCTTTAAGACTGTAAGCGTCTCCTCCGGTTGGAGGGACTGCGAGTAAATCCGTTGATTTGAGTTGTTGTTAAGTGCTATCAGTTCTGACTCATAGCAACTCTGTATAGGGTTTCTGAGGAGCAGCTGGTGTGTTTGAACCGCTGACCTTGTGATTAGCAGTTTAGTGCTGACTGTACAGCACCACCCCAGGATTTGAGTAGAGTGAATAAAAGAAAGTACAAGATGAACTCAGAAATAAGCCAGGGAAGACTATTCAGGGCTTCAGCATTTCCTTGGGTATGTGGTGAGAAACTTTTGGAGGGTTTTGGAACAGTGAAGTGACAAAGGGGCTTCAGAAAGTTCATAGAAAAATGGAATTAAAAGATAACGGAATTTTTCCATAAACATTTTTAAGCCCCTTGTGTTTTGAAGGTAGAACCAGTAGGACTTCCAGGATATCCAAGTAGGAATATAGAATATGTGAATATGGGGTTTAGGGAACAATGTCTCATTGAATATAAGTTTGAAAATTAATAGGGAATGGTACCTAAAGCATGAGTCCAAATGAGATTGTATAGGGAAATTAGTGTAGAGAAAAGAGAGACAAGGAACTAACAGAGAAGGAGCATTTGTAAAATGAGACTAAGATAGACTTGCTGTCAGTGGAAGTAGAAAGGAAAGAAAGAGTGGCATCCTGGATGGCAAGTTGATGTCAAGAATGCGTTTCAAGAAAGAGGGACATCAATACAAATGTTTAAAAAGAGGGAATTTTCAGTTATGTTCAGTGCTACTGGGAGTTGGGTAAAATGAGGACATTGAATTGATTTCTTGGTTTTGGTTATATGGAGGCTATTGGCAATCCTGATGACTGATTTCAGTGACTTGATTAGAGTAGATTTGAGGAGAAACTGAGGAATGAGGAGCTGGAAACAGCCAGAGTAAATTGTCCTCCTCAGTTTTGTTGGAAAGGGAAACAAATGGAGTCGTGGCTGAACAAGGATTTGGGGTAACTATTCCTCAAGGCTTTCTCAGCTTTCTTCCCTGTTCCCATTAACCCACAGCACTTCCTATTCCTCCTCTTTATCTCCAGGCCCTGCTTTCCAACTGGATACTCAGAAATATCTAGTTTTTAGCATATGACCTGGGTTCCTAGTGCGTCTCTGCAGGATAATGCACTGGATAGCAAGGTGGTTTGGAACTGCAAAGTTGATGGTTCAAACCCACTAACCGCACCTTGGAAAACCTGTACAGGGTTGTTATGAGTTGGAACCATCTCGATGGTACTTACTAACTACAGCAAGCATGCAAACATGTCAGTATTTAAAAACATCTTACATTTATTGCGTCCTTAGTGTGTGTTTAACTTCACTTAAACGTTCAAAGCAGTCCTTTGAGGCAGACACAATTACTATTATTGTCTCCTGTATTAGCTTTTACCATGATAATGCCGTGTGACAAAGTACCCCAAAGCTCAGGGACTTAAATACAATGATTAATTCTTGCTCATGAGTCTGTGGTTTAGCAGGAGATGGACTCAGCTGTACTTAACCCTGAGCAATAGCTTGGTTTCAGTGTGCTCCATGTGTTTCTCATCCTTTTGGGACCATTCCTTAAGATTCTAGCCCTTTTTCTTTTTTCTGCCCTGTCTGCATTGCCACAACTGGATTGCAGCTGTATTCAGATAGCGTTTAGACTTAACCCTCTCCATTTTTCACAGAGTTCTCTCTCTAATAGCCAGATGCTGTCATATGATTCCCTTGAATCTTGTAAGGACTCCTTTTTGACTATAGGATGAAATTTAGTCACTTTAGCAGATACGTGAGACTTTTGTGATTCGATTCTGTATTTCTTCCCACACCTCTCCATCCACTCCGTGTCCCTACCCCAACTACTGATAACTTTTTTTTAACTGCTTGCCTTCCCAATTCTCCTTGCCTTTGTACTTCTTAGTCTTACTGCCTAGATTTCCACACATAATTGTTACACTATATGTATATCTATACATCAGACTGTATGTCTTGAATGTTGTGTTGTGTGCTGTGGAGTCGGTTC